TGAAAATACAACATACCCAAATTGTGGGACACAGCTAAAGCCATGCTGTGAGGGAAATTCACACCACCAAGTCCATATATTTATTAGAAAGGAGGAAAAGTCTCAAATCAGTGATCTAGGGCTACCCTCAAAAACTGAGAAAAAGAAGAGCAAAAGAAACTGAGAACAAGCAAAAATAAATAAAGGTAAGATGATAAATAAATTATATTTAAATACAAAAACAATAGAGAAAAATCAATGAACTAAAGCGGGTTCTTTGAAAAGATGAAATTGACAAACTTCTAGCAAAATGGACCAAGAAAGGAAGAAGACACAAATTAACCCTATGAGGAATGTTACAGGGAACATCATTACAGAACCTGAAGACATCAAAACGATAATAAAGGGAATATTATGAACAACTCTATACACATAAATTTAACAAGTGGGAAGGAATGGATCACCAAACAACCCATTACCACAGTTCATCCAATAAGAAATAATATTAATAGCCACATAACTACTAAGGAAATAAAATCTGTAATTTTAAAACTCTAAAAAAGAAACCTCCAGGCCCAGATGGTTTCACTGAAGAAGGCTATCAAACATTTAAAAAAGAATTAACACCAATTCTACACACACTCTTCTAGAAAAAGAAAAGGAGGGAACACTTCCCAATTAATGTTATGAAGCTATTATTACTCTGATACCAGACCAAGACAATACAAAAAACCTACAGGCCAATATCCCTCATGAATTGATAGAAATCTACAAAAAAATCTGCGTCTGTGATGAAAGACTGAATGCCTTCCCCTCAACATCACAAACAAAGCAAGAACATCTATTCTTACCACTCTTTTCCAAATAATGCTACAAGTCCTAAGCAGCAAAATAAGGCAGCAAGAAAAGACAAACAGATTGGAAAGAAAGAAAGAAAACTGTCTCTATGTGCAAATGACATGATTTTCTATGAAGACCATCCCAAGGAATCCACTAGGAATCCCAACTTCAAGAATAAATGAATTCAGCAAGGTCAAAGGACACAAGATAAATATACAAAAATAAACCGTATTTCTATATGTTAACAATGAATATAGGGATGATAAAATTAAAAATATAATTTACAATTGCTTAAAAAAATGAAAGGGGTATAAATCAAACATGCAAGACTTGTATGCTGAAAACTACATAATGCTAAAGAAAGAAATGAAAGAAAATATAAAGAAATGGGGAGAGACACCATGTCTGTAAGTTGGAAGACTCAACATACTAGAGATTTCAATTCTCCCTAAATTGATACAGATTTAATGTAATCCCTATCAAAATCCTAGCAAAATTCTTTGTAGATATTGACAAGAATATTCTAAAATTTATAATGAAAGGCAAAGGAACTAGAATAACCAAATAATTTTTGAAAAAATAAGAATAGGGGCACCTGGGTGGCTCAGTCGGTTAAGCATCTGCCTTCAACTTAGGTCATGGGATCGAAACCCGTGTCGGGTTCCCTGCTTGGTGGCGAGCCTGCTTCTCCCGCTTCTCCCTCTTCTCCCCACCTGTGCTCTCTCTCACTATCTCTGTCTCTCTTTTAAATAAATAATCTTAAAAAAAAAAGAAAAGAAAAATAAAAAAGTGAGAAGTACCAATCCACTCTATTTCAAGACTTATACAGCTACAAGAATCAAGGCTGTGTGCTAATAGGGACCCACAAATAGATCCACACAAATATACTCAACTGCTTTTTGACAAAGTGCAAAAATAATTCAACAGAGGATAGATAGCATTTTTAACAAATGGTGTTGGAGCATCCACAAGCCAAAAAATGACACTTGATCTAGTCTTAAACCTTATACAAAAACTAACTCAAAACAGGTCATGGGCTTGGGGCTCCTGGGTGGCTCAGTCAGTTAAGAGTCTGACTCTTGATTTCAGCTCAGGTCATGACCTCAGGGTGATAAGATGGAGCCCTGCAGCGGGCTCCACCCTCAGCAGGGAGTCTGCTTGAATTCTCTCTTTCCCTCTCCCTCTGCCCCTTCCTCCGTTCACACTCTCTCTCTAAAATAAATAAACAAAACCTTAAAAAAAAAAAAAAACGGGTCATGGGCTTAATGTAAAATAATAAACTATAAAACTTTTAGGAAAAAAATGAGAAAACGTTTGGGATCTAAGGTTAGGCAAAGAGTTCTATGACTTAACACCAAAAGTATAATCCATTGGAGAAAAATTGTTAAAACAGATTTTATCAAAACTAAAAACTTTTGCTCTGCAAAAGAGTCTTTTAAGAGGACAAGAAAAAAAAAAACAACAGACTGAGAGAAAACATTTGCAAACTACGTATCAAGAAGGGGCTGGCACCAGACAAATTTAAAAAAAAAAAAAAACCCTCGAAAATCAACAGTAAAAAAATCCAATTAGCAAACGGGCTAAAGAAATGAAGAGACACTTGTGATGAGCACTAGGTATTATATGCAACTAATGAATCATTGAACACTACATCAAAAACTAATGATGTACTATATGTTGGCTAACTGAACATAATAAAAAAAAAGAAATGAAGAGACATTTCACTGAAGAGAATATGCAGATGACAAATAAGCCCATGAAAAGATGCTAAACATCATTAACCATTAGGAGAATGCAAATTAAAACCACATACCTGTCATACATACATACCTATCTATCGAAATGTCTAAATAAAAAATAGGAATACTAAATGCTGATGAGGATGTGGGGAGACTGACCCCGCATACATTGCTGGTGGGAATGTAAAATGGTGCAGACACTCTGGAAAACAATTTTAACAGTTTTTCATCAAAACTAAACATGCGGGACACCCGGGTGGCTCAGACGGTTAAGCGTCTGCCTTCAGCTTAGGTCATGATCCCAGGGTCCTCAGATGGTGTCCCGCATCGGGCTCCTTGCTCAGCTGGGAGTCTGCTTCTCCCTCTGCCGCTCCCCCTGCTCTCTCTTCTTCTCTCTCTCTGACAAATAAATAAATAAAATCTTTTAAAAAAAAAAAAAAAAAACTAAACACGCAACTGCCTTGTGAACCAGCAACTATACTCCTGGGCATTTATCCCAGAGAAATGAAGACTTATATGACATTCCATGTTACTGTACTGGAATGTTTACAACAACATTATTCATAGTAGCCCAACAATGGAAACAACTAAGTGTCCTTCAAACAAAGTGTGGTACATCCATACCATGGAATACCACTCAGCAATTAAAAGGAGCAAACTAATGACACATGCAACCACCTGGACGAAATCTCCAGAGAATTTTGCTCCATGAAAAAAATCCAATCCCAAAAGGTTACATACTATGTGATTCCATTATATAACAGTCTTAAAATGAGAAAATTATAGAAATGAAAAACAGATTACTGGTTGTCAGGGGTTAAGGAGGAAGTGGGGTAGAAATGAAGTGGATGTGGTATAAATGGACAACCTGAGGGATCCTGTGGTGATGGAAGGTTCTCTATCTTCACAGTTATCAGTAGCAATGTCCTGGTTGTGGTCTTGTACTACAGTTTTGCAAGATGTTATTATTGAAGAAAACTGGATTAAGGGTACAGGGGATCTCTATTATTTACTAACTGCAAAACTACATCTGAATCCTCAATTACCTCAAAATAAAAAGTTAAATTAGAAAATAAAGGTAGCATTATTGCAAAATAAGTACAGCAACTGACAAGAAATCCAACACCAATTAAATGAAGTGCTCTCTTTAGCCCACGTTTAATTCTGACGATTACTCTGAATCAGAGTTTATAAAACACATTTTCCTCACCTACATACGCACACCAAGCAACTGTAGCACAGTTCAGACAGAAAAACAGATTTCTCCAAACACGTGATAAAAGTGGAAAGAGACCTGGGCTGTATCAGGGAGGAAAATCCTTATCCAGGCTCTATCAAAGAAACGCTGTATAACTTCCACACATCACCTTACCTCTATGGCTCAATCTGAACTCTGTTCCTACTATCTAAACTAATTTAGGAGATTGCTTAGACCAGTAGTTCCCAAACATTTTGGTCTCAGGCCCCCAAAGAGCTTTCACTTACCTGGATTACAAACATTAATATTTACAGCATTAGTAATTAAAAGAGAATTTTTTTAGAAGACAAGTACACACATTAGCCCTCAGAATGGTGAGGTCATCCCACCTCATGCAGTCTCTGGAAAATTCAATGTGTACTTAGAAAGAGGGTGAAAAGGGCAAATAACTGCTCGGTATTGTTATGAAAATAATTGTGACCACACCTTGAGAACCACTGGCTTACTATCAAATGAGGTAAATATTTAAGTGATTTTAAAAGTATAAAACACTGAACAAATCATTGAACAAAACTTACATTCTTTTAATGTTCAAGGGTGCCAAGGCAAAGGAAAAAAAAAAGCTCAAATCCTAATGGAGGACAACTTGGACAAGCACACAGTTGGTAAAAAGAGGGAGCTTCTTGAAAGTCCAAGGAATCTGGGCTCCAGTGAGTATAGTCAGGGAAGAGTGTACAACCATAAAATATTACACTACTATTGCATTAATCTGCTCTGTGCGTCCAAAACCGTTATAAAAATGATGGACCCACAATCACTGTTTCAGATTTAACTTTTGGCGAGACAGGGAAGCAATGAAAAAACCTCCAGCCACTCCAACACCGCGCTCTCCGCGAGCTGTGGGGGTCCGCCCTGGGCCCCGCTTCTGGAGGCGAGGTACAGCCACGCCGGGCGTCTCCTCCGCTGCAGCAGGAGAAAGAGAATCCCCCCATCCCCAACCGGGTTGGACCAGCCGGCCGCGGGAGCCCGGAGAGTGGGCAGTTAAGGGCTGGGGAGGGGCGCGGCTCACAATCGCCGCCTGAACTGGACGGGGCCGGGACTGGGCTGTCGGCCCTGAGCCCCGGGCTAAGGAAGTTACGCTAGGACCCCGGGAAAGGCGGGGCAGGGGTCCTGGGAGTTGGGCCCTTGGGGGAGGGGGCAGCGCTGAGCAGCGGAGAGGGCTTGAGGGGTCGACCGGGACTCACCAGGTGCCGCGCCACCTCAGAGGTCATGGTCCCGAGCGAGAGCTGAGCGAAGGCGGGGGTCCCAGTGAAGCGGGGGTCTCAGCCCCGGCCCCCGAGCGAGCGTCCGGACCACGAAGGGAGCAAAGGGGGCTCTGTCTGACCTATTTTAATGAAGAGTTTACATCTGTTGTAATTTCAATGTACCTTTCTTTCAGTCCTACCAGCCAGGTAACCTTTTCAGTGTGTTCTAATGTGGTTTTGATTGGGGAGTCCGAGTTTCATTTGGTTTGGACTTGGTTGCTGCTTTAATGAGATAAGTAAGACTAGATAGATTTCAAATGGATTTCCCCGGAGCGGCCTTCACTCCCTCCTTGCCCCCTCCAAGTAGGAGGGGACGGAAGGGATTGGAATACTTTGTTATTTGGTCATGTTTGTCTGACTTGTGTCATGTCAGCCTCGAAATTTCTAAAAGCACAAAAGCGGCAAGTGGGAAAGAGACCGTTCAGAGTCAGAATTTTAAGAGCTTGTTGGGAGGAAGAATGCTTTTCACTGCACCTCATCAAGTCCAACTGTTTCTGAAAAATCCTTTCCAAGTACAAAGACGGTGCCCTTTTCAAAATGCTGAGGGATTGGTAACTATGTGAGCATTGTGCTTAGCTCTGTGATTGTGAGGTATAAAATGAATGAATGTCTGTGTGTTAACATAATGTAAGCCTCACTTCAAGGCATTATTTTCTCAAGTTGAGCTGCTTGCTTTGGAAATGGAATCCATTAAAATTCGGTTAAGATTGCCTTGAGTTTTCATCTAAGATTATTTAATAGCACTGTAAGGCAAAAAGCCATGTATGATTTGTCTCCGGCTTCCCAAACGGTGCTCCAGCGAGAAATCATACTGTTCGACGTAGCAGCAGGGTGGTGTGAAAGGAGTCTGCCATCAGCCTTCCATTTACTAAGTATTTATTCTGCACTCGTGTGGTGCTGTGCTCTGGAATGCAGAGGTGTACACACAGCTGGTGCCTTCCCTTAAGGCACTCCTGGACCAGGAGGGGGACACAGGACCACAAGTAATGACACCGCAGGATGAGAAATTCTGTGACGGGGATGTACAGGGGGCTGCGAGATGATGTGAGAGCGTTCAGAGGAGAAATACGTGGCTCAGCTGAGACCCGAAGGATGAGGAGAGAGAGGGAGAATGAAACATGTTCCAGGTAGGGAGAATGGTAAGGTCAGAAGATAATGGCTTCATCCTCCCTGAGTCATTGAGTAGTTCAGGGACTTTAGGAAAAAGTCTGTCTGGAAGACTTAGTTTCTTTATCTTCCCGTGGAGGATGGTGGTGGTGCTCATGGTGGTGGCCATGATGGGTGCTGTTTGTGGTGGTAGAGGAAGACAGAGAAACTATAGCAGTTAATCTTTACTGAGCACTTGTTATGTAGCATGTTGAAGTACGCTAAGCACTTCCTTTCGTTCATTACGTATTAGAGTTTTACAATCCCCTTATGAATGTAGGTACCATCATGGTCTGTGTTCTACAGATGAGAAAAGCTAAGTAAGCTGAAGGTCACATTGCTAGTAAGTGGAAAAACCAGGACTTAAAAAGAGAAGTTGACTCAAAAGCTTGCATTTTCCACCATTACTGTGTTATTAATAATCTCACTTTTTCAGGGGCTGATATAAATAAAGATGAGCAGGATAATTCATTTGAAAGAGCTTTTTAAACTGCATGGAACTCTAGATTGTCATTGTACATGTTGAGCTGAGGCATAGGTCATGTGCTCAGTAGCTAGCCTAGATTAAAAGGTAAAAATGGGCTGTCGTCCCTTGCCTTGTTAGCACCTCCTCCAATTCTTTGACCTCAGCACGTTGGTAGGCGAACATGGCATTCCCCAGGGGACACCTTTTGAAGCAACAGAACGTTAGATGAGGTGGACCAGGGATTTGCTCCCAAATGGCAGTTGCTATGTTAGAAAGTCCTCAAATATTTCTGAGATCGTTAATCTCTGTTAGTCACTCCCTGCCCCTCCGTGACTGCTCAGCACAAAATGAAATGGAGGCTTGACAATGATCCAATTCTTTTTAAGAGTCTTGGCTTCTAGCATGGGTAATCCAAAGCCTCAACTGGACTCTCTTAAATTCTGGACTACCTAGTTGATGTGTGTGTACGTATGCACTATTGACCTAGCCATAGAGTCCCTACCTTGCCTGCCCTCTTTTGCCAAATAGCCTCTCTTCCTGTCCCTTGATCTTTCTGACAATCCCCCATGTGCTCTCTGCCCTTATCCGCACTTTAATCAGCCACCGTGTTGGGAATTGTGGATTGCCTCTCCTAGGATCACATAAGCGGGTCCGTGTTGCTCACCAGTACAACATTAGCAGTTATTGGGAATAATTGGAAACGTTCATAGAGGTGGTTGCATACTCTTTGGGCCCAAAGAGCATGTCTCCCCTACAAAGGGAATGGCTAGTTCAACAATGAACCAGGATAATGAATTCTTCTGCATCACAGTTCAATTGCAGAGGCTGATTACCAGTTTGGTTTTCGTCCCGCTTGAAGCCTGATAACGGGGTTTCCCTTTGGAAGCTTGATTGAGCTGGTGTGCAAGGCAAGACTGTGTAATTCAGATAGACCAGTGAAATGCAAACAGTTTCATGTATTAGTGGTCACTAATGACCTGCAATCAAGCTTTGATTTGGTAGGTTAAAAACAAAGATGCAATTAGTTTATTTGTTCAGGAGTGTAAACAGAAGAATTTCTCAATCTGCTGATTGTTCTTCTCCTTTGAAGACGAATGGCTAGAGCATTAGTCTTGAGCTGTGGCCCCTCAGAGCTGCCATTCGTCTGTTCCTGAGATTCTCCCAGCTTTCTGACCAACGATTGATGAGTCTATGGCCTTTGTCAAAAGGGGACCAAAAGCATTCGGTTCTTGGTGTCCTTCCTCTGTGGCTTTTCCGCTTGATGACCTCACCACTTCAATATTAGTTTTCCTCTTTCCATCCATTATGGTCCTATGCTTCAACCACCTCATATTCTCAAAGAATCATCATTCATCCAGCAACATTTAACCCAGAATTGTCGAGGGCCGGTTATGCCGCCACTACTGTCCTAGGTCTTAAGGTTTAGAGTGGTTATGAAGAGAGTCTTGATTCAGTCTTTGTGAACTTTACTGTCTCTCCATAGATGTCTTTAGCGTTTCTGTGTGACTGACTGCTTCTTGAATTACGTATCACGAAAACCAAATGAAGAGTCTCCTGCCGTGAAACAGATGCTCTATTGAGATATGGATCTTAGTGAAGACGGCACTCTGATCCTTTGGGGTACGTCAAAACTGGCAATAGAGATTTTGAGGGATTATAGTGACTCCTTAGAGAAGATATACCTTGTGTTTTCCCTAGTCATTTATTTAAACAGGGGGAGTAAGTACATTTAAATTCTTATGGGAGACTGTGAAGCTAAAACATAAAAGCCTCTAATCCTTCATCAGGTGAAAATTCTGTGATCTGCTTGATATCACAGAACAATAATGATACAGGTTACTCCGATGAGGCATTTGGATTGCTTAAGACCATGTTGAAACAGTGGAAATGATCTCACATAGAACATGACTTCTTTCCTTATCAGCCTGAGTCACACACTAATCTGAAATGACTATCAATCTGTGTTGTCTATGTCCTCCTTAGAATAAGCACCCTGGGTCTCTTGCTCAGCATGTATCACAGGGTCTAACACAGTGACTGGCATGTAATAAATATACGCAATAAATATTTGTTGAGTGAAATTCAGGCACAATGATCAGAGTTTGAAGACCAATCGTAGCATTTGGGATATTGTGAAATAAAGCAAAATTGCTTGATAAAAATGATCTTAAGTATTAGGATTAGTAAATAATCAGCACCATAGCTGACCTTTTCTGTTTTTTTCACATCCCCTTTTGTGCACTTCCGTATAGTGCATATAATGCATTAGTAAACTTCCATTTCATTGCATTAATAACCCATATAATAAAAGGGACCTCCTGTTCTTGTGGAAACTACTAAAGCCTAGGAGTGATATTTTCTGTACTCATCACAAGGGTGACCTGTCAAATTTCTGGTGTGAAATGACCTATTCTTCAGAGTCTAAAGAGGAGCCTTCACATTCAGGAAAGCCTTGACAATAGTGTGGGTAGATGGGTGGTCGTTTTTCATTTGTTTATTCGAGAGCTACTTATTGGACACTTACTGTGTGCCAAGCATGGGGTTAGGAGCCAGGGACTTGGAATAGCAGGCCCTCTGGGGAAATACATTAATCCAGAATAACAAAGATGAATGTACGATTGTAACTGTGCTGGGCACTGTAAAGGAAGAATTTGTGGTGCTGCGAGTGTGTGTAAAAGACTATTGGACCCAGAGATGGGAAGCTCCCCTGGTGAAGGGGTGAGAGGACTAAATCCTAAAGCCATAGTAGGAGTTAGCTGTGTTGAGGAGGAACAAGAGGCATGATTCAGGGCAAGAGAATGGCATGTCCAAGCAGCACAGAGTGTGTGTCCAGGCAAGTGAAAGATGCCCCATGTGGCTTGAGTTCCCACAGGACTGGCATTAGACAGAAGCCACATCTTGCTGAGCCTTGAGGGTAGAAGAGGACTCTATTATTTTTTTATCCTAGGAATAAAGGGAAGTGTTAAAATGTTTAAATGTGGGGAAGATGGGGAGCAGTGTTCACATTTGTTTTTCAGAAGGATCATTCTGGCTGCAGTGTAAAGAACAGATTGGAAATGCTCCAGAGTAGATTTAAGGAGACAAGTGATTTGTTCATATGAAACTGACACAGAATCTACATAATATATGCCCATGTGAGGGAGTTCCAGTGTAAAGCACGTACCCTTCCAAGAGATTGAAGATGAGCTCCACCGTGGTATAATATAGACCTCTTCAAATTTCCTCTGTGTCATGCACACACACTTACCCAGACATAAATTAGCATCATTAATGCAGAATGTCACATTAGAGCCCAGTTCCCCTTCCAGCTGATGCACCACTTCAGCACCTTTCCCTTTGTACTTTACCCTTCGCCTTCAAAGGCTGTTCTCAGGTCTTATTTTCCTTCCTAGAAGTGTGAGATTGGTTTTTCTGCTATGCTATTAGAGTGATCTGCCATGGCTTTGTGCCTGTTTGT